AAGTCCAGGGGGACACCCAAATTGCATCAATCCCAGTTAACATCACACACCTGAGACTTAGTCAACTCCATAGGTCTTGCCCAGCTGGAATCCACCTTGGAGTAAAATCAAATGATTTTATCCACCTGATATTGAGAATAATTTTCACAGCAATCCTGGAAGTGCTCTCCCAACTCCTCTTCAAACCAATGAAGATTGGGTTGCCTTGAACTGGGCTGCCAGGCAACACTCATAGGACACAATGTTGCTCACACCTGGCAATCTGCAGGGGAGCACCCCAAACAACCTTCAGTCTCTCCCCTCCCCCCAAAAAAAACCATAGCAACCCTCCCACCCATTCCCATCCCATCTTTGAAGGATAGGCACCCACTACCCCCTGAGCCCAGCTGGATCTAAGTAATACATACCTACTATATGGAGGGATACAAGGCTTTGGCCATAAACTGGTTTTCTGAATAGCTAAACTGTTCTTTCAGATTTTTCAGATCTGTTCTTTCAGAGCTGTCCCCAGGGTAACTTTGCTGCAGTTTTGGTTTAAAGCTTTGCAACAATTTTGTAGCTTCTCTTGCTGACTCAGCAATTACCAATAAATTGCTTTTATTTTCAAAGCAGAAATGCTGTAGCATATATCACCTTTGAGTATGCCAGTGACAAACTCAGACAAAATGGAAGTTTTTTTGTTATTTTTAGGTATTTAAGCATGTGCCCTTGTGTATGTTCAAAATTTTACCATCATTTTACAAAATCCATAATAGCAACATTGAAAGATAAAGTGAGAGAATAGGATGTTATTCTGAAAATATGTTCTAGACTAGGGCTGTTAAACTCCTGGCCCACGAGCCAGATGCATCATGCGCTGGCCACGCCCGGTTTAGCAAAGGGCAAAAAAAGTCCCGATACGTCATGTGATGCTGCTGTGACAATGTGAGTTTCACACTCCTGTTCTAGACAAATGATGATCTGTTCATTTTCTTAAGTGACAAAGTTTCTGAATTTCAGTTTGGTTTTTATAAAATGCATTTTTTGGAAAGCTTGAGGAGAACTCTGGGAAACTGACATCTTTCTTTACCAGCTTTTAAGCAAATACTTTGTTAATGATGAAAAGAAAATGGGGTTAGAAATTAAAGACATCATAACTCAAACATCATGCCTGTTTCCATAAATCTACGTAACTGTCATAGTTCACAATCCTGTAATGCTGCTTAAATCTAACTTGTGATACTTTTTTCCCCATAAGGCCTACCCAGTTAGCATTCTGCATAGCCCATCATGTAGGAATGAAGTTTCCCTAAAATAAAGTCAATCTGCATATCTTGCTCTTCTTGGAAATACAAGGAATGCTTCTTCCTGATCTTGATTCAGTTTATCTAGATTTATCACAATATTTGTTTGAAGTTGCTCTTAGCTAAAGTTCTAACCTGCAATACTTTTTAAAAATTTTATTTTATTCAAAAGCAAAAAGTTAAAATACAAAACTCCAAAATAGTCACATACAATATGTATATTGTATGAATGATTTTAAATTGGGTGTTTTAATCAGGTTTTAATTTTGAGCCAAAATTATTTATTACTTTTAATTGGTTTTTAAATCGATGTATATATATTATGTTTTAATTGGCTGTACACAGCCCCGAGTCCTTCAGGAGGAGGTATAGAAATTAATTAATTAATTAATTAAATAAATAAATAAATAAATAAAAATATTGTATATGTGTTAACTATTTTAATGCACTTTTTTTTCAATATCTTGCTTGTTTTGTGTTTCTGTTTGTTTGTTACCTGCAAGAATTTAAAGTGTGATGATTCAAATGTCAACATCTTATATCTTTTACTCTCTTTTTTTGTTAAAATTGCACTCCTGTAGAGAAAACTAATAATTCAGTTTGGCCTGTGAGGGATAATTTTTGTCTTATACCTTCCAGTGTTAATATTAAAGGCAAGGGTATCTTCAGGTAGAATGGACCAATATATGTAAAAATAGATTTTGTAATATATACTAATGCTTCCTATCAGCTTCTAGATCCCATCATTTCCCCATTATTATTAAAAAGCAAATTCATGAGATTAAACTAGATTTTCAATTGATTAGCTGCTAATTATAGATTGTCCTTGACTTAAAACTATAACAGAGCTTGGGATTTCAGTTATAAATCATTGTGCTCCTAACTTGAGGCACCATGTGACCACACAAGATTTATGACCATTTTGCAAGCAAGTCACCAGTCATTAAAGTGAATTCCACTGGTACCTTGGAACTCATTGTTAATTGGTTTTGGGAGGCATGATGAATACCAAAAACTATGAAACAATTTTTTTCCATAAGCAATAATATGAGAGGGTCACAAGGCAGATGACACCGATAAGTATTAGCTTGTATGTCAAGTATGAAATAAACGCTGAGTACTGGGGCAAAATTTTTGCATCAAAATACACTGAGTACCAAACTCAATGAGTTTCAGAGCAGATGAGTACCAAGGTACCATGGTATGTGGTGGTTAAAGAAATCCAGCATATCCAGTAGGCATTTTCTGCCTAAAAATGGCAAAAAATGTCAAAATCACAGAACACATCACCACAAAACACTGCAACCAGTCATAAATGAGGACCCAGATTGTTGGGGGCAATATGCTATTTAGTATAATGTCTTTGGTGTAAGCCACCCAGAGTCCTCGGAGAGTGGCTGGCATAGAAATATGATAGATAGATAGATAGATAGATAGATAGATAGATAGATAGATAGATAGATAGATAGATAGATAGATGATAGATAGATAGATAGATAGATAGATAGATAGATAGATAGATAGATAAATAAATAAATGTGAGGCAGTTGCCAAGTGCCCAAAATGCAATCACATGACCATGGGAGATGGGAAAGTGAAAGTCATAATTTCGAGGATGGGTTATAAATAGCTTTTTAAAAAGTCCATCATAACTTCATGTGGTAGTTAAATGGTCATTTGTAAGTTGAAGAGTACCTGTATTTGGATACTTGGGAAAGAGCTTAGAATCTGGAATATAGAAATCTGCCTAATAGCAGATAGGTTTCCTTGGCTATCTTGTCATTTGGCCTGCTCTGATTAGCAATATTTATCTTGAATCTCTGGCAGAAGTCTTTCACATCACCTCTTATATTTTATGATTTCACCTTGCCCTTTGGGAGCCCCTTTAATTATGGCTGGTCTAAAGGTATACTTTTAGCCTTCCCATCAGTTGTCCTTGAAATTGGATAAATAAAGGAAATAAATTCATCTTTTTCATGAAAAGAATATGCTGAAACACTATTGTCTTTTATCCACCAATGGGCTGTAGCAGTTCTTTATTATTTCCCCAAATGATTAAAAAAACATTGAGGGAGAACATGTTTGGATGCTCACTTCTTACAATAGATCATCTCCTTGCTTCTGTGGGATGCAAAATGATTGTGGGGCAAAGTAGCAATGGAACAAGGCAAGAGGAAAGGACCAAAAGCCCCTAGTGCTTCCCTTCCAGCCTTTGGATGATAGATGGCCAGTCCAGAATGATATACTTAATAATTAGTTGAGTTCTAATTCACTATATCCAAGAACAAAGGAGCATATGATGCAATTAAAATTTTAAAAATACCTTTTAAAGCAATCAATATATGCGAATTAAGTGTTGCAAGTTTCCAGTATATCAAATGAATGTTTCTTACAAGTCTGTTGTAGCACTTCCTTAAAAGGAAATACTATTCTGGTAGCATATCTGACTTTTTAAAAATCTTCTTTTCCCTGACTTTGAAGTTTGCTTTTCTTTCTCCCCTTTAAAAGCAACACACCCTCTCTTTCTCTCTCTCTCTCCGTCCCCTGACAATTACTTTTTTGTAATGACAGCTGTGCTGGATGGGCAAGGCAGGATATAGGATAGAGAAAGATAAGTCCTAACTTTTCCTTTTAGACTAGCAGGTAAAAGGGCCAGACGTCCTGTTCCAACTACTATGAGGTGACCACCCCTTTCCTCCTGAGCCCTTCCAACCATTCATTTTTCTGTAGGAGAAACTGCACAAGCCACATAGCCTGTCCCAGGCCTTCTAAATTAACCTGTTCCCTTTGATAACTCCGAGCAGAGGAACGGCTTTATTATTGGCAAATTCTGTTGTATTTGTAGAAAGCAGGTATCTCATTCTTCTTCTTGTCCTTTCTCCCAGTCAGCAAAATGACTTGGTTCAATCTTGAACATAGGTCCATAGAACAATAGGGAGTTGCTTTTGGTAGTCTTCATTCTGATGCAAGCAGAAACCCAACATCTGTTTTCAAGACCTTATAATATCTGGGTTTAACAGGTGCATTTGCATCTCAAATTATTTTAGTAGATTTAAGCTTCAGGGAAATTGTGGTATGGTTATCTTTGGTTTCATGTTCCTTTTTCTGTCAGGTTATTGTTTTTCTTTATTTTAAATCATGTACTACAAAAATTAAATCAATCTATTTCTCCTTTTTAAGATCATAAGTTTTAACTGCTAAGTTTTCCACTAGACAATGAAAATCCGTAAGAGAGAGAGAGAGAGAGAGAGAACATTAAAAATAATGATTGAATTTTCAAATAGCTCTCTTGAGGAAGAGAACTGAGGCATAAAGTCATGTATAACTAAGTGCATGATTTATTCATTGTTTCTAAGCTAAGCAGTTGCAAAGGTAGAATATCCTTGTTCTGCACTATACACAGAATCATGAGTGTCCAGGGTGTGGAGATGGAGCAAGAGGAGGCATCAGATGCATCATTACATCATTGCAGAAGCAACATGGATTATGTAATTTACCGTATGTCAGTTGTGTTCCATTACAATCAGAAATTACTGTACATAACTCATGTCAAAATTTGCACAACGATATCACGACCTGTATCTGATATCTGTGTGTGGGCCACTGTATATCTGATTAATAGGAATTTTAGAAATCTTTGCTACTGGAATAATATACGTAATATACAGGGGAAAAAGTCCTTTACTTACATTTTCTGTATTTATTTGTCTCATTCCAGCAAACATCCACTAGGAAGTCATGAATATATTCAACACTGCAGGAAGTTTGACATAGATATCCGGTTGCAGCTGATGAAGAGGAAGGCTGTTCGCAGTGACTTGGCTAGGACGGTAAATGCCTGGCTTGTAAACATGAAATTAGGCTCTAACAAAATTGTTGCTTCTTCATGAGTTCTAATTCAGATGAAACACATACAGTATTTCCATTAATATCAAGTTAGAGCATGTTTGGTAGAAAAACACTTCTTATATGTTGAGGGCTAGGACAATGTCTTGACTTAAACTTAACTCTTTATATTATTTTTAATATTGTTTGTTTTTAATCCATAATTATCAATGGAATAGCATTTGTTGCTGGTTTAGTTGTAAATCTTTAGTTGAGGATTGTAATCTTAAAAGAATAGTAAGATTCAGCATAGGTCTAATGCATGGGTGTCAAACTTGGCGCGTCACGCTGCTGTCACGTAACATTTCACAACCTCTTCCCCATTCATGAAGCTGGGGTGAGCGTGGCCTGCACATGACACATCTGGCCTGCAAGCTGCCACTTTTGACACCCTTGATCTAATGTTGGAGGGTAACAACATGCTGTCTAGAGTCTTAAGACCTTATTTATGCTCTTAGAAGCATTTGAGATTAAACTGCTGATATTCAGTATCAAATATAATCCCTATATTTTAATAAAATATATCCTAAAAGAGCTATGCTAATTGTCTGAAAGTCTCCACATATATCTTAGCAAAGATTCTTCCCCCTTCTCCCCCAGTCTGCCCAGATAAAACCCAAAGTTCAGCCCTGCACAGCCCTGCACAATATCTGGTGATATTATTAACATGCCCACTGAAGTTGTCAGAGGCAATTCACAATCACTGTATTAATCATCATAGTAACTGGCATCTGGCATCTTGACTCCTGTTTAAATGCCACCTGCAATGTAGAATACCTCTCTGGTACAAGTATGACTTTGATCAGATGTGCTGATACCTGAGAAGTGAGAACAACAATCATACCTGGATGTCTGTTTATGCAGAACACTTGTTAGAGCTAATAGCTTCATTTTATACCTTACTGCTGCAATTAGTTTGTAATTGTAATTAGTTGCATTGCAACTACTTCCTTTGATATTTTGTGTTGGACAAATTGCATCTCCCTAACATAAGAGAAGTTATCAGTGGTATAATTTCAGGACAACAACTTTAATAAAGAGAATGTTGACAGGCCAATAGTGATGTATAAAAGTGTAGGCCTATGTATATAAAAATTAAATGCTCAGAACTGAATCCTTTGCTTTAATATTTTTGTATAACAGATCAGAAAATCATCTATTTAGCATCTTAAGATATCTTTTTTCAGAGGGCAGTTTTACAAGTCTATTCTGCTTCCTGAAAAATCTAAATCAAATTTGAAAACTATTTTCTAGAAACAAAATTGTTCCTGCAAATTAATAAGTAAGTAATCCTTTTGTCAGAAAGAAATTCAGTGCTCTATCTCTTGGGAAGCATTTATGCATAGTAAAAGTATTATTTATTTAAGCATTCATTCAATCAATCAATGGTATATGGCCAACTATTTTACAAAAAAGGGCTCAGGATTAAAAACAATTGACCAACAACCATGATGTCCAAAGTCACTAATACAACCCAACTCATAACTTAACAGAGCTCATCTAACCATCTGGACCAAATTACCTGGAGGAACAGCCAGGTCTTTAATAGCTTACAAATAGCTAAACCTGCGGCCATCTGGATCTCCAGAGGGATGTTGTTTCATTGAGCAGGTGCTTCCACAGAGAAAGCTTTACTCTGGGGTCCAATAAAATGACATTATCTAATGAAAGGGACCTGAAATATGCCCTCCATGATAGATGAGTGAGGTAAGCAGACAGTATGAGAATCAAGTTGTCCTGCAAATAGCCTGGCCCTGTGCCACGTAGGCTTTATAGGTAATGACCAGCACCTCCCAAAAGTCCACTGGGAGCTAGTGCAGTGTTGCTATATAGGACTAAAAAGAAATGCCAAGAGCTGCAGCTTCTAAATGCCTTTCAGGTCCATTATAGAGTGCATTACAGTAATCCAAATGGGAGTTGATTAATGTGTGAGTCACTGTGAGCAAAGCCTCCTGGTTCAGGAATGGGTGCAATTGGTGCACAATGAACTTGTACAAATGTCCTCCTAGACATGCCTACCATTGATTCTTCAAGCAAGAGACATGAGTGAAGGAGGAGCCCTAAGTTGCACACTGACTAAATGTTCCCCCATGCAGATGGAAAATTCTGGATCTTTGTGGGGAGGGTTAGTGGTTGGAGGTTTTAAAACTCTTGGTCTTGCCAGGGTTAAGCAGAAGCCTTAATCCAAACCTCAACACCCTCATGGCATTGGGTAAGAATCTTGATGGCATCACCTGGTTGGCCCAAGACAGAGATTTATAGTTTGGTTCATTATTGAACAATAACACAGACAGCTTTGCAGCAGGCAGCCTTAGCAAGGGTAACAGAGAAGTGTTGAGTATTGTTGAGCAACTGCTTTTCTTAATGTAGGTGAATGATGACCAAAGCCCTTCCACACTCAACCACTATGTTCATCTCCAAGAGAGGCCAATCAAGCAGACCATCACCAGGTAAAAAAAATACGAATGAAACCAGGGATGCTATTCAGCAGGTTCTGACAGGTTCTGGAGAACCAGTAGCAGAAATTTTGAGTAGTTCGGAGAATCGGCAAATACCACCTTGGGCTGGCCCCAGAGTGGGGTGAGAATGGAGATTTTGCAATATCCTTCCCCTGGAGTGGGGTGGGAATGGAGATTTTGCAGTATCCTTCCCCTGCCATGCCCACCAAGCCACACCATGCCCACCAACAGAACCGGTTGTAAAAAAAAATTGAATTCCACCACTGAATGAAATGCCAGTGTAGCTGGTAGAGAAACTATAGACAGATAGAATTTCTGTGGACTGTATAGGATAATATGAAATGATAAAAAGACACATAAAAAGACATAGCACTATCTGATGTGCTGATTTTTAATGTGGACCAGTCATGTTTGCAGGCCATATGGGGAAAATCTGCAACTCACTGGTAGGACATATGGTTAGCATGAAAATGTTTCATGTTCAACATTGGCAGCTCTAAAAATGGCTGAGAAAAACTCATGACTGAAAACCTGAAGAATTGCTAATCAGGACAAACGGTTCTGAGTTAGAAGTGTGCATATAGGCTTTGACTTGACATAAATCGATCCTCCACATGAAACAAACTTTTTTCCATTTTCTATTCTGAGCTGTTCATTGTTGCTTCTTCCTATAGGCAGGCCCTGACCCTTCTTTTTGATACCTTCCACAATGAGGTGGATGCCTTCTTAGCAACTGAGGTAAGATGTCAGTCTTCAGATTTGGGGAGGGAGGGGGTAATATCTTAATGGCAAGCTCAGTTCAGGAAATGGCAAGCACATGGGACCCTCTCGTGGCTGGACATGTCAGTAGCAGTTCCACAGCATAACCTCAGAGCCCTGTGCTGAAATCAGAGAGGTAAATTCCAACACCAGCAGCAGAGTAGCAGCTGTTGAAACCAATCGGTTGGGTTGGGTTGGGTTAATGCTGCTACTACGGCTATATTTATCATCCTCAAGGTAAAAGACATGGAGTGGAGATGTTGCCATGCATGAGTAAGTTTCCTGGTTACTACCATTATTAAGGAGCCTATCCTGAGCGAGTACTCCAGATTTGGTGCTAGTCTTGCCTGAATTATACTTTTTAATAATATTTGGAACATTGTTGTATTATTTGATGTGACTGAGTGTTACTAGAAATGTAAGTAGTACACTTTTGTAATCTGTAGGAAATGAAATCACCCATTCAAAAAATGTTGCAATGGGTAGCATAGCAATTCTACACATCTTCTAATCACTCTCATCTCTAATTCCCCACAACCACCCCATTGCAAGGCTTACAATTTTCAGAATTTGTACCATTGTGTTTCTGTTCTTGCTTCCTACCACAGCTTGTTTGAATAACAGCAGAATAAGAAGTTTCTGAGCTTTGTTTGTTATTCATTTATTATTCAAATTTGTGTAGTCGCCCATCTTAGTGTTATATAATAAAGAGAAGCAACCTTTGGGGAACTGAATGGTACATTTAGTCCCACAGTATATAGGCCTAGGATATATGAACAATTGTAGTATGTTAGGCAGTACCAAGGCTAGCCCTTGAAGAAATATATGTAGCACATGCTTGCAGAGAAGATGCATCACGGTATCAGTAAAAATTAAAATCAGACATGAACAGTGAGAAGCAGCAGCTGAACCTGGGTTGCCTTGGCTGTATTTTAGTAATGGTGGCAGGATGGCTATGGGAAGCATTGGGTGGTGAAATGGCAGTGTGTAGAATGGTGGCAGACCCACTTAGTTTCACCTACGGAATCCCTGAGGGACCAAGTGATGCAAGAAAGACATTTCAGCAGAAAAGGATTGTCATTCCTGTAATTCATAGGTTAGCTGCTATATTGGTGGCAAATTTGAAGAGCCCAGAGGCTCCATCCAGGCTTTTTGGGGTGAGGGGCTGGTTGTGTACCTCTGTTTTGTAAAGCAGTGTAACATCTAATAGCTTTTGTGTGCTTTGGTTACTCATTTGAAGATACTGAAAACAGTATTATAGTAATAAAACAAATATTTTGTGATAATATGAAGAAAATAAGTGGTAAACATATTTTCTCCACTGTGGTTTCCTCCAGTAGGTTCCCCCACATCTCATTGCTCACAGCTTGTTTTATTTCCTTTCTGAAACTGATTAGAGAAGGTTTTTTTAGTGCTTCTTCAATGGGACTAGGTCTGCTTATAAAGATAGGCAGTTAACGCAGTTCTTGCTTACTTCACATTTTCCTCATTCCATCTTGACTGCTTTATGGGGGTCAGATTTCCCAACATAAAGTTGGGGCTATCAGCATAAGGTGCTTGGGATGGCAGCCAAGAGGTTGTTCTAGTTAGCAGTATGAACTATCAGTCAAAGCAGGAAGAAAAAAAAAGAAAAAAATTGGGTGTACAGAAATGGTTCTCAGGTTCTATTTTTTACAGTGTCAGCAGAGCACCATAAGGTAGAAAGTTCCTCTTTGTTTCCGTTTTCCTTCCTTTTAGAGATAGTTGTATATGTATGCATAAATGCATTTTGGTTTTGCTGCCAGGATCAG